ATGATGAGATTTTGTATATATGTTGTTTAAAACAATGCAATAATTTATTAATTTTAAGACGGGGATGGGAGAGTATGATTTAAAAGGAAAATAAAATGTTAAGAAGATAAGATGTAGCTGTCAAACAGGTAATTAATTAATAAACAAAATAATGTCTTTTTTAATTCCCAGAATTATGATTTATCAGTCAGTCACATAGTACAAACATATATACCAGTAGAATTAAGTTTGTGGGTGCTTTTTATTGGCTAATATTCGATTAAATTAATGGACCCAATAATGCAAAGACATGTTGCATGCTCAAATCATATATACTCCGTCCGTGTATGGACTACATTATCAATCACACCTAACTTGGTTAATAATTATTACTCCTCTGTGCTCCTAAGATGTTCTCATTTTGACTTTTGACCGTTTTTAAGGAGAGTTGAAAAAAGGTGAAAGTTTACCATAATACCTTTAATGAAAATGGGTGAGTGTATTAAATTAGGTGGGTGAGGTGTAATAAATAAAGTAAGTGGGGGTAGTTGTGGTATTTTAATTGTTAAAAAATGAAATGAGAAAATCTATTGTGAACAAAGAAAAAGGGCTATTGGAAAGATCTATGGGGGACAGAGGGAGTATTATATTGTTCATAAACTATCGGTATTAAACTAATGGGCATTAATCACTATTAAATTCACACCTCTCGTTTTATATGGAATTAAATATAAAACAAAAGTTAATGTACGATAATGGGTTTTAAATTTTATAATGGGGTTCAAAAAAAAAACAATACTCTATCCATTTCAAAAAAAAAAAGACTGCTAATAATGTTGAGAGGCATGCAATTTAATCATGTTCATTGCCATATGCGTTTGTCTTTCTCCAAAATTATTCATTTGGATCAATCACTTGGGTTTCACCATTTTTAGTGAAGTGATAACCAACCCTTTTGTTATAAATATTCCTCCAATTATATGGGAACTTTCCAAATTCCCAAACCATACCATTCAATTCATCACAATGATTAAAAAAAATTTCAACCATGCTAGAGGCACCTAAAAAATGTAACTCAAATTATACCCTAAAGAAAAATCGATATTTTAACGGTTCACACAGGCAGAAAATATTAGTTCAAATAAAAAAATTTGCGTTGACATTTTTTGCTAATGTAAATCATCTCAATAACATCACACTAATACAAAATATCGGTGCATGCCTTTGGAATACGAAATGAGGTATAAATTGGTGTACATATAACTTAATCCAAATATTTTATAATTCCTCCTCCCAAAAAAAAACTTTTCCCCGTCCCGAATTAGATACCACTGCCATTATTACGGTTTCTCCATAATTTTTGTTTGTTTGTATATTTTCATTAATAATTTGATAAATTAAATATTCTAGTCACCTAGCTCTTTATTTATAGAGTTTTTTTAATGTATTTTTAAATGGTGTAATTTATCCTTTTTATTTCTATACTAATTTGTAATTAAAATGACAACATTTTGTATGTTATTTGGATTGTGGTATCCAATATATGACAGAGGGAGTATCACATATTCACATTACACACACAAAAGTTTTAAAATTTTTCAATTCTTTTTATTTAAGAATTAGTATAAAAATAAAAAAAAATATATTTACATATTCAAAAATTACATCAAACTAAAAATTCTACAAAACAAGGTTGTACGTTCTCGTAATTTTTTGAATGCTGAAGTGTGATGCTATTTTTTTGACAAAGAGAACAAGTGATTCATTCAATTCTCAACTTTAGTGAAAAATCCGAAAACTTGAAGTTAAAAATAGTTTTAAATTCTTTTAAATGCTATGCAACAAATTAACAATAATTGTTCAACATTATAAGAAAATTGATACGAATTCAGCAAATTGATGATGACATTCCAAATTTATCAGTAAAGACAAATATTACACATTACTTTTTGTACTTTTTTATGTATGTGAAATATTCTTATCTTTTAATAATGATAAATTTGGAGTTTTATTATTAGTATCAATTTATTGGGCTAGTTTTAGCATTTTGAAAAAAATTATTTATATTAAAGTTTAGCTTTAACATGTCTAAATTTAGACAAATTCTTTTGAGATGTTAGTGCTCATTTATAGACCTTAGTCTATTTATATCATAAAAGAATTGAGCCTTTTAAAAAGAAGATATCCACACGGTAGTCCATTAAAAATATGAAAAAATTTATATTTTAAATATGAACTTTGAGACCATAGCAACAACAACAACAACAACCCAGTTAAGTCCCACAAGAGTAGGGTATGGGAAGGGTGTGTGTACGCAGACTTTACCCCTTCTCGAAAGTAGAGAGGCTGTTTCCAAAGAGACCCCCGGCTCAACGTCGAAAGTTGCATTGCTTGACTAATTGCTATTTCATTAATTAGAGAAGCGCAAACAGTTTAAAGATCCATTTTGATTTATTTCATCACACCCCAAAGCTAAAAAATGGTGAAATTTTAGCTCCATCGGAGATGATGGAAAAAACTTTGACACCATAGCATCACTCCTAAATTTAATATGGAGTATCGCCATTAAAAAAAATTGTCCAATATTAACCCGTTTGAGAGCATCTCCAATCATTCCATTTTGGCTTGTTAAAAGCTATGATATAGCAAGCCAATCATTTTTTCCATCTCCAATGGTTGTGTTATATTATAGCAAGCTTGCTAACGAATGAGGTTGACTTGCTAAATATAACACGTTTTCCAAAATATAAGAAGCTAAGAGTTGTAAAATGGATTAGCAACTTATGGTTGGAAAATGAAACAAAAAATTGCTTGCTATATCATTATTCTCTTACTAAAATATAAAACTAGCAAGCTAATATAGTAAGCATGGTTGGAGATGCTCTGGTAGTGGTGACTTGAGATGACCCCTTGATCATAGCACGATAGATAGTGGATCAGCATAGCCCATTATGACCCGACTATCAATATCAGGCCCATGATGGTACAATGTCTTGACCCAAAAACCCAACTTTAAAATATCAAATTATTATAAAATATATCTATATCTAAATAAAAATATTAATGATTAAAGTGCAATATTAGAGACCGTGAGAAGTCAAATGAGAAGAATATTTCCAGATGGATTGAGTAATAAAAATAAAACTATACTCTGTATGCGTATGTTTACACCGAGCACTATATAACCAATTTTCCCTTACAATGTCAGAAAGTGGAAATGCTCAAATTCAAGCCCAATGGGCTTTTTAACACAACGAGCTCAAACTGGGCTATCATTTAAGGCCTTTATGTTGTTTGACATAATATTGAAATATAATTGAGTTTAATTTAATTTTATCACCACCAAATTGATTTTTTTTAATTGAGTTACTTTTTTAAATGTTATTTTATAAAATGTGCAGATCTTCTACTATATACTTGTAGTAATATATACTCCCTCCGTCCCGTAAAACATGAGAGTTTTGATTTTGAAGAGGGATTTAAGGGAAGTGTATTTTGGTATTGAATTTCCAAAAATGTCCTTTGATGTGATGAGTAGAAGTATGATTTGATGGATAGATTATTAGTAAAAAGGTATGATGTGATAGGTAGGATATGAAAAAGTAAAGGGTAAAAGTGACTTTTTAATAGAAATGAGAAGTGTTTTTTGGGACGGTTGAAAAAAAGAAAGGAGAAAGTTTTATGGGACGGAGGGAGTACATGTTGTTCTAATTAACATTTAATAATTCTATTTTTATTAATTACTCTGCATATGTGTGAGAAAATTCTTACATTTTTAGACGAACTAGGTTATGATTTACACTTATATTTTAATATCTTACATGTAAATCTTTGAGGTACAAGTTGTGATACCTATCTTTAGAGTATGTCAATTGTCAAGCACGATTGTTTTTAGATACATACGGGTGCACTTCGAAATAACTAAAGGGTGGTTATAGGCACATCCGTTAAAAGACTAAATTTACTTGTCAACTAAATACACCCTAGATACATTATTATGTTTTTATTCAAAAAAGCTATATTATTTTATTATGTTAAAAAACATTATAAATAAATGTTTAAAACTATTCATCATTTATTTCATTTTATTACTTTTCAAATAAAACAATATATAAATTTTAGTTTCAATATTAATTATAAAACTTTAGTGCCTCTTATTTTAATTTTTAAATAATTAAAATAAATTTTATTGTTAATGTACATTGAATTACTGTTGATTTTGTATAAAATATTCTACTCCCTCTGTCCCGGAAAACATGGGAGTTTTGGTTTTGGAGAGAGATTTAAGGAGAGTGTATTTTGGTATTGAACTTCCAAAAATGTCCTTTGATATGATGAGTAAAAGTATGATTTGATAGATAGATTATTAGTAAAAAAGTATGATGTGATAGGTAGGGTATAAAAAAGTAAGGGGTAAAAGTGATTTTTTAATAGAAATGAGAAGTGTTTTTTTGGAACGGTGAAAAAAGAAAGGAGAAAGGTTTTCTGGGACGGAGGGAGTATTTTCTAGGTAATATATCAATATGCATTTCACCATTTTTTAAAATTTACATAGTTATTTCATTATATAAAAAAAATAGTTATATGAATTTTACTTGAAAAAAATTATACAGAGTATAGTCTTTAAAATTATTCACTATTTTCAAGAACAAAAATCTATATAAATGTTAATAAACGTGAATTGTTTTTAAAAATACAATTTTTGTTTTAAAAACATATCATATTTAATAATTAAAATATAGTATTTAGGGGAATAAAAATTGTTTTATTAAACTATTATTGTATTATGATTCAAATTAGAACTTTTATCAAAATATTAAAATTGTAAAATGTTCTAGAGAGTATATGAGTTCATGGATTAAAATTAATTTTTTTTGAATAAGTATTAAAAATAATTTTGAAACTAATGGAGTGAAGTTAGTTTTTGGGTGGAGTGTGACTATCACCAAGGACACCAACAACCATGACTAAACGTTAACAAACATTTTATATTATTATTATTATTATTATAATTATTATTCATTTTAAAAAAATTATTATTAATATTAATTTAATTTGTTCCGTGCAACGTGTCGAAGACCAGTCTTGGCTGCTTCATGCGGTTTTACAATTTTGACCTCAGAGTCCCACCCCTCTCTGCCCTTGAATTCTTGTTGGTAGTATCTAAACGCCACGTATAACATGAATGCTGCATTTCATGATTTCAACGATTAAAATAATTATTATATATATATAAATATATATATATATATATAATCAGTTATTATTATTATTACAATCTCTGTCTCAATTTAAACACTTTACATGATCAAATTTTATTAATTAATTAATTATTTTCGTTTTTTCATTTAAAAAATAATCATATATTTAATATAAAAAAAGAGAAATGAGAAGTTTAATTAATTACCTGCCCAAAGTCTAGCAGAGAAAGAAGACAAATTCCAGAGGAGTGCGAAGAAGCCAAACGCTACGGCCTTTTTATGTCTGCAACTCTCCCATGAGTCTCTATATCTTCTCCCCCAAAACTTACCTTCATTTATACCACAATTATATATATATATATATATATATATATATATATATATATATATATATATATATATATATAAAATTGTTTTGCATTTATTTGTTTTTAATTTCTACATAGTGTAGGACCTCGATGCACACGTGACCAACACATAGCTATACTAGTTTAAACACGTAAAAAATTGTAGCTCCAAGTCCGGCTCAATCTGATAAAACGGGCCTCGTATTTTGTCAAGGCCCGCACAAAAAATGATCGAGCCTAGCCTTCAGCTATGGACGGACATAGATCTTTTCAAGTTGACTCTTTGTAGTTTTTTAAAAAGAGTTGAAACAAAGCTAAATTTTATGAAAATACCCTTAATGAAAGTGTGTAAAGCATAGCAAATGAAGTATGCGAGGTATAATAAATAATGTAAGTGAGAGAATTATGATATTTTAATTTAAATATTGAAAAAGATAATGAGAAGATCTTTATCCGGGTAAAAAAATGCATTTCGAAAGATATAAGTCAAAGGGAGTGAAAATATTTTACCGTATGCTGTTAAGTGCGGGGAATAGGAAGAAGCGATTTTTGGTAAGATGAAAACTCCGAAGAAGCCTGCATTTTTAACCATGCATCATTTATATGTATGGAGTAGATTATATAATTAATTACGTAGATTAAGGGTATATTGAGAAGAAGCTACAAAGATTTTGGTAAGAGTCAATTTTAATTAGGTGAAACGATTGACTTATGTGTGTGTGTGTATATATATCGGTCCGGTTCTAGTGACACTGGAAAACGATGTCACTCCGGTGCCACGGCCTTTTTGGGGCACCTCAGGTTAGTTGAACATTTTCAATATTCAATTTCAATACTACTCCCTAATATATTTTTCTTAATACTAGACAAATGTAAATATAAATAAGCACACAAATTTATTGATTGAATTTGATGTTTGGACAGAATATATGATTGATACTCTGTATTAAAAGGATTGAAATTTTACATCATTTTTATTCCATTTAAAATTTGCCTATTTTTAATTTTGATTTTATATTTATTTGTATTTCACCTCGAGACGTTCAAAAGTGGATGGTTAGGCATCATCATCATCATGTGGTATAATGTCGCATTCATTGGTTTTTACAAAATCCAACTTAACCTTATTTTTCTATGTTCGGTTTGGAGCGTTACAACACCAAAACATATTACTCCCAGCTCTCATTATTTTGGGACATGAGAAAATGATACTCCTACATAAATTAAATATGAAGAAAAAATTTTTGCATTGTTGGATTTAATATAAAAAATTAGGATATAATAATAAGATTTATTATAATATAATCAAATGATATAAAATGGAAATAGTGAAAAAGACAATAAAAGAAGAAACAAAAATAGTAATATCATGGTATTTTAATTTCGTCGTTTCAGATTAATTTTTTATCTAAAAATGAATTGAGAAGAGTTAAGTTTAGTAAAAGTGCAACTAAACATAGTAAATCGGGAAAAAAGTAAAAACAACAAAAAAAAAAGAATCATGACTTTGTGACCGAGAGATAGATCTTTTACCGCTAATAAGTTACGTTACGTATTGAAACTGTACCACGAAACAAAAGAAGAAGAAGAAGAGAAAGGTTAATTACCCAATTTGGCCATCTTGGAGAAGGTTAAGTTGGTGCCACATTGTGCCAAAACAAAGAGCACCACTCCCATCTGCATGCACAACACATTACACACACACCACCCCATTTATTAGTTAAATAATTATAATTACTGCAATGAGAATTAATTGAATTATTAATTGAAAAAATGGTGCAATAATTATTAATTTTAATTTCATCTATAGATCCATCACCTTCATTGTTGTTGCAGGGTCCCCTGAGAAAAGGACTTTGATTTTGAAGAGAAAGTGATTCACATAGGGAAGTATGAGTTTGAGAAGCCTTATTGCCTCCTCCTCTCCAACTACATTTCCTCTTTTCTCCCCCTCAACAATGCCTTCCCTGATAATTATTGGGTGAATTTATATCATTATACCCCGCACAGTAAAAGATGAAATTCAAAAAAAAGATAATTTACCCAAATAGGGCTAAAACATAATGACTTTCTCTATATAGGACCATATGTTTTTACTTTCCAATGTAAGACCATTAGTCATTATCAATTACTCATTATTCAACTAAATGTCCAGCACCACTTGGACATTATTCTCCTCACTAGTTATTGTTAAATCCTATTTAAAGAATAAAAAAGTTTAAGTCCTACATTGAGAAATGATTTATGTTTTAGTCCTATTCGATCAATGCAAATTTCACTTGAAAAAATAGTATAATATTTAATGGAGAAATAATATAAATTAATTTTTTTCTTATTAATTGGAGTACCTTTTAGGGGCAAGGGATTTGTAGAGGAAGACTACAACAAGATAGAGGAGACTGAGGTAGGAAACCATAGAGATGAAGCTGTGAAACCAAACTCACCATATTATTCATGTGTATTAATTTGTGTGAAACATATATAGTTCTTTTTCAGACAAAGAGAAAGTAAAAAGTTATTTTAGGGATAGAGAAGTGTTATTATTATTATTATTATTATTATTATTATTATTAAAGTTGGGTAATTAGTTAAAAGTTAAAAGAGATCACCTGAATTGAAGCTCTTGAGAGAATGAAGAAGAGATGATAATAAATGTTCCAAACCCAAAGATAAATGCAGATTTTGATGCATCTCTCCACATAACCAAATCAACTGCCAAATTTGGTAAATAAAGTAAAAGAATCAATCAGTTTTGACATTTTGACAGAGCTGAGAGACTGAGACAAATAGAACTAGTAGTTAGCATTTCAGGGCACACAGTAAAAATTCTTTCTTTCTTTGTTTTTTTCTACTCATGCCCCTGTAAAAGTGATAAAAGAAGAAGAAGAAACTTACCCAGACTCTGTAATCTGCATTGGGGACTGGAAATGGAATGTGAATTTTTTGCTGGGGTAAATCTGGGATTTCCATTTTCAGAAAGGGGAGAATTACACATTTTCATCATCATCATCATCATCTTCTTCTTCTCATCTGTCACAATCTCTTCAGGCTTTTGATCTTCTGAAACTCCCATTTCTTTCATCTCAATTTCTTCTTCTTCTTCAAGATTTTCTGTTTCCACTTTATGTGGAGATTTGAGCAGAGCCAAGTCCACAATGGGTGTGATGACTTTTTCCTCGCACTCAGATCTTGTTTCTCCAATCCCATTTGCCTTTGCATTCTCAATTTTGCCCACCAAGGCAATGCCATTATTACTATTATCATTCTCTTCAAAGTTTGTGTCTTTAACCACTGATTTGACCAAAATACCCTTTTCTTCCTCGCATTTCAGCTCAAGATCTGACGACTCCGCCGCAGCAGGTCTCGATCTCACATTCTTGAGAATTGGAGCAGAGCTGGCGGCAGATCTCGTCGTCTTCTTGATCTGGATCGCGGGGCTTTTCGGGCCCGAATCACTGCAAAGTTGGGATCTTTTTCTTGAAACCTGAACTGGGCTGCCCTCAGATTTCCAGATTTTCCTCTTGGCTTGTTGAGCTCCATGGTTTCCCTCGCGCGTTTCTTGAGAATTGCCGCCACCGTCTTTGGCGGCATTGTGATGAAGCTTAACAGAGCCGCCATTGCCGCCTCTTCTGGTTCTCCCCGCCTCTGTCATCATCTGCTAGCTTCTGTTTCTTCTTTAGAAGATTGATTTTAAGGATTATGTGGATGATGAGTAGAATGGGGGGCTGCCTGCCTTTGGACTGAAGCTTTTAGCTCAAGAAAAATGGCAGAGCAGATGTAGTTATGTATGATAGACGTAGAAAATGGCAGTGTGTGACACAGACGCAATCTGTATTGAAAAGGGAGTTGAAAAAAAGCATTCCTCTCTCTTGAAATAGAGAAATTTAATGACTTTTCTAATATAGGACGTTTTTATTTCCCAATTTAGGACTTTTGGTCATTATCATGTAGTCATTATTCAAGTAAATGTCCATCATTACTGGACATTATTCTTCTCACTAAGTCATTATTAAGTCCTATTTAGGGAATAAAAAAGTTTAAGTCCTACATTGGGAAAGACATTATGTTTTAGTCCTATTTAGTGCAAATTTTACCTTAGAATAATGTTTCTTATTTGTTCTGACAAAAAAAATAAATAAAACAAAATTGTGTGACTGAAAATGATGTTGAGGTGACAAATAGATTTTGAGTCATATAAAATTTTTTAAAACTTGAATGAAAAATCTTTTTTAGGATGGTCTTAAAGAGAAATTAGAAGTCTTTTTTTACGACATAAAGACTACCTAAACGACATTTTGTGTGCAGAATGTTGCGGAGAAAAAACAAAATTCAAAGTAAAAATTACTCCAGAAATTTTGAAAGCATCACACAGCTTACATTTTGATTAGGAGGTGAAGTAGTACCGCTGAATACTACATTTCATTTCATAGATGCTCATCAAGTAAAAGTAATGGAGGCTCTTCATCATATAATTAATTTCACATCTTTTTGAATATATTTTATTTCACATTTCAAAATGGCACAATCGAATGCTATTTATTTTTAGTTTGTACCTCTAAATGCATACTCAAATGGCTTCGAACACTCATATCACAACTAGATTAGTTTTTTTTGGGAAATAATTTTAGTATCCTAATTTTGTCGACCTAAATCTTTTTTTTGTTTCTGATGCGCAGATAGGGTTTTTATTTCTTACTCTTCCCGAGCATCAAATAATTTTATTATCCTTTGTATTTTTTTGATGATTTATCAGTCGCTGCATTTCATTATTTTCTATGTATGCTTTGATCTTACAATGTTAGAGTATAAGTATCTATTCCTGGGTCACAATCACAAGCTTGAGCTTGTGGTTGAATTGGTTCCTTGACATGGTATCGGAGCCTTGGTGACTAAGAGGTCACGGGTTTGAAACTCAGCGCCACCTAGTTTAAAAGAATTTAAGGTTTCACGTGCAAGGCTCGAAAAAGACTACGCCTGCACGTGAGGGGGCGTGTTAGAGTATAAGTATATGTTTCTGGGCCACAAACACAAGCTTGAGCTTTTGGTTGAGTTGATTCCTTGACATACATACAATACATTCTATTTTGCTTTCCTCTTCTTATTTCAATTTTTTTGCTCAAACTATTTCTAAGATTTGAGGAGAAAGCCATCTTTAAAGTCTTTTGATTAATATACTCTAATGATTTTGTCAATTTAACTTTGTGGATGATTTTATCCTTTAGTGCAATGGTACAAACTTTTATTGAATGAAATATTGTTCTATGCATCTTTCTGAGGTCTGATTTTACTATGTAGTTTAAGTATTTTGAAAAATTATTTAAAAAATAACGGATAATTCTGACCAGTGTTGTCATTGCTACCTTCAAAAAATGATCTAGAGAGAAAATGAAATGACTTTGTCGCTGGGATACTTTTTGAAGAAAAAAAAAGAATTTAAGAGTACAATTTGATTAATGGAAAAATAATACCTCCTCAATACCGGATGATGGGGTGCTCTTTCTCTTGTGAAGAACATCGCAATGGATCTAAGAGTACAATTTGATTAATGGAAAAAGATTTGAAAATTTACTCTAAAAAAAGGTTTGAAAATCTACATTCGTATTGACATGCTTAATAAGTGTGCCTCACGCCAGTCATAAAGCTGAATGAATTAATGTGTCATGCCAACCTTTAGTTAAACCTAAATAATTTAAATAGGTCTCAAAGTATTGTGCGAATCTACATAATTACTACTTCCTCCGTTCGGAAATATTCTTCTCATTTGACTTTTCTTGGTCAAAATTTATAAACTTTGACTATGATATGTGACATCGCCTACTTCACCTTCCTCCGTCTAGTGCACAGTGGAAGATCCAACTTGGTGGAGACTTCATCCTTCGTCTTCTTCAGTCTTCTGCGCCTTGACCACCGTTCAACATCAAACTAAAGGTTATAATAAACCCTTTTTATTTCAATGTTAGGGTTTTTATTTGTAAAGCTAGATTCAATCATTCAATTCTAACTAGAAATCAATCATAAATGTCATCTACAATGTTCATCTGTGAGTAAGTAATTCACATACACTAAATATCTGTACTTGTTTACCAAAGACACATAATGTCTGGGTAACCTCAATGAAATCCAAATGAGGTTCTTAAAATAATACAAATCCAAATACAACTACTTCCAAGTTTGAGGGATACTGGTGAACTTTTGCGGGGATTCTAAATTTGTTAGGTCATACTAGTGTCACTCAAATGTGTTATAGACATTACGTGTCTGTAATATTTTCTTTACAAACATAGCGTGTCTGTGAGAGTGTAGATAAAGAATCTAGACCTCTTGTCACAAACCATTCAACATACATAGATGAAACAACTACCTAAAGCTGCAACACAAAACTAAAATTGGGAAAGTGCAGCAATAAAATCAGATATGTGAACAAAAAATCAAATTTGATTTTTGTCTAAGGGCCCGTTTGGGAAAAACGTTAGAGTTTAGAGTTAGAGTTTAGAGTCAGAATTTAGAGTTAGAGATTAGCTGTTTACATTAGAGTTGGTAATTAGCTGTTTGATTTTTTATCGTTTGGCAGTTGATCACTTAAAAAAGCTAATGTAGTGTAAATTACTAAAACATCCATTTCGACATGTACTCCTAAATTTTAAACTTTTTGTTGATTTTAATATTAATTGGGACACTTTTTTACCATTGTTTTAATATGTTTTTTTAAGCTAGCAAAATATTAAAATAATTTTTAGGAGTGAATAGAAAAATGGATGTGTTTTTGTAAATAAAAAAAGAATACAAATGAACCAAGAATAAATTCTCTCTGTCGTAAATTAAGTTATATATTTATTATTTACATAGTCAAGTTTTAGTTATTTCATTTTTAATTTTTGTTATCAATTTGATAAAATAAAAATCATGTTACCTCTTCTTTCATACAACCTAGTTCGGGGTCAAATAGTGTTGTTATTGTAGTTATTTTTTAAAAACAGTTAAGTACAAGTATGAAATAAATTGAACTAAAAGTAACTTCAATGAACTATTGCACACCGAAACAATACATGCTTTAGTAGACCATAAGAATTGAACATTACGTAAGAAAAACTAAACATATTTAATTTTTGAAATAATTAGTTATTGAATTTGCTTAAAAAAGATTTAGAGATTAACTCTATATCTTAGTAAATTGTCTGCTATTTTATCTCTGAGCGAATTCATTGCGGATTCAATACTTCCTCTTCGATGACTATTACAACTTTCTTCATCATCTGAATCTTCCTCGAACTCATCATCTTTGTCTTCAAACTCTGAAAAATCATAATCTTTGCTACCAGCATGTCGACGAATGTAGTTATGCAAAGTCATGCAAGCAATCACTATCAAAACTTGTTTGGGAAATGGAAAATTTCTCATGACTTTTAACATAGCCCATTTATTTTTTAAAACACCAAATGCTCTTTCAATAACACTTCGTAAAGAAGAATGAGCTTTGTTGAATATCTCTTCTTTGCCTGATGGTGGTCTTCCTTGTCGAAAATCTGACAAATGGTATCTCTCTCCTCTATAAGGTCCCAAATAACCAGCAATTTGAGGGTATCCCGCATCTACTAAGTAATATTTTCCTATAAGATATGAAATATTATTGTTATCAAAACCATGTTATCATTTACACTAATAGAATACCGAGTAATAATACGTAAAACTTTAACTAATATTTTATGTGTAAGTATAAAATAAATAAATATATGCTTGTGTACCAGGCGGTGGATGTGGGAATTTCCATTGCTCTTGACGTAGAGCCTTATAAAATACATTTGCATCATGAGCAGATCCTTCCCAACCGGCTAATACAAAAGTAAAACACATATTAAAGTCGCACACAGCCATCACGTTTTGCGTTGGCACCCCTTTTCGCCCGATATACGGTAATTGGTCTGTAACAGGAATGGAAGCTGGGATATGTGTTCCATCAATTGCCCCAATACAATCCTGCAACATTGTAAGTAAGAAATTAATCACTTCATATTTTGTTATATTTGACTTATGTAAGTTGTAACGTGTGGATGTCTACCTCTATGTGTGTATAACACAATTTACCTTAAAATGTGGCATGTATCTGCGATCATTTTTTATCTGTTCTGCAGTATCTTTAAATTGTCGATCAGATGGTTGAATCACATCAGAAGCCATGCCAATAATGGTTTCCAATACCATATTAAAGTATCTGCTAATTGTTTCTCCAGATCTTTGAAAACGTTCTTGAATTTCTCTATTTGACTCTCCATGCCCCAAAATATATACAAACATTGCAAGTGCTTCAATTGTTGACATATTAATTGAACCACTAAGTTCATACTTACTTTCTAAAGTATGAAGTAAACTAAGAAATATATCCTTTTTCATTCTAAACGCATTATAAAATCTCATGTCATGACCATCTAAAAGCTCTTTAACCCATGACTCACCACGTTGTCTTGAAGTGAAACAAGGTGTTTTGAGAATATATTTGCAATAATACTCCTCAAAATAATTCATCAATATGGTTCCTGAACGTGTCCACTTCATATCTTCATTCAAAATGGCTCGTAATTTGCGTTCTTCCATTTCACTATCATCGAAGATACTTTGGCCAATCATCTGTAACATTATTTTAAAAAAATCTTTCATGAGTCAGGTAATTCATAACATGTTATATACCTTTTTAAACAATACTAATTCACATCTTCAAAAAATAAAAATGACACATCAACCAAATATAATTCGAGTACTAAAGGCACTTTATATAACAATAACAAAGAAATATCTTATTCTAAAAAAAATGTCTCAGTAACTAACATAATTGAAAAGAAATTAACTCACGGTGCTAAAATTCTCTAACATAGAAAAAGTAGTAAACACAACCTACAAAGAAAAGTTGGAGTTATTGTTGCCTAATAAACTAGGTCATTGTAGTATGAATATCAACGTCCTCAAAAGGAAATTGAGAACTTGATGGAGCTTCGAAAAATCGTCGTGGAGGACAACCAGCCGAGGGAGACCACATATCATCTCCTTTAGCAACAGTACCATCAAATAAAAATCCCAACTTGTCTTCCAACTCAGGATCAATGCCTTTAGCTCGGAATTTGGCTATTTCTGGATTAGCCTATAAAATAAATAAACCATAATTTCAAATACTTTTATAAATAGTATACGGTTAACACAAATCGAGCATAAGCAATAGCACTTATCTCAAGTAAACTTCATTACTTAAAGTCTATCTAGAGAATATATAACATACCTTAATATTTCTATCCCACCAATCATCTGTAGCATCAATAGTGCCTTTACGTGGGTTCCACCCTAACCCAGTTGCTAGTCTCTTGAGGATCCTCCAATTCTTCCATTCTTTTTTCAACATATCCCATTTATGTTTCATTTGTTGACTATCATAGGTAAGTCCTGTCTCATTTTTGAACTTAGTTGCTATGCTAGTCCATACAAACTTCTTTAAACTTCCTCCAGATCTATTACCATTTTCGAGTTCCCTTTTGCAGATATCACAGAACGTGATGACACGACTCCTCTCCCATTGTGCTCTTTCACGAACATTGTGACTAGATTGAGAATTGAGCTTTAAAAAAGTATTGGTAAACATTGAGCATCATGAGTGATGAAGTATTTACATCTTTAAAAGGTTAAAGAGTAACAGATGTAAGGATCGGATCTATTTGGATGGACATTTTTGGAGGGATTAGCAAATCATTTATCTGAAGTTTTATAAAAATCAAAAGACCAACACAATCTCTCAAGTGAATGCAGGGGGTCGGCTGATATTTGATCAAACAAAACAAATCTTGCATACAACTAGTCAAAAATATGCACAACAAGTCAGATATAACACTTTAACTCCCTGTTTCATTACCCCTTTATATAATAAGACCTTTTTTTTCTTTCTTTCTTTCAGTAACCCAAAACATAGAAATTAAAAACAAAAAATGAAAAATAAACTTTGCAGCTGTCTCCGGCCGGCGGTCGTAGAAACAGAGGAGTGTGCTCTCAATGAAAAGAGAAATGGAAACTCTAAGTCAATTTGATAGACATTCATATCAACACTCAATGCATAAACCTCAATACCTTTTAAAAACTGTTGGCTTAATTACAACTGTGCTTAGGTAAGTCATGGTTGAAAATGAAAGCTGAAACAGCAACCCCGAATGCATCACTCCGCCCCTATGACTACATTCATATTTCTACAACACTTCTAATAAATCTAACTCAGACCCTAATATGATAACTAAGAGGATAAAACCATAAACAGATAAAGTTTTGGTGCTGCATATAAACTAATCAAAGTTAATATAAATGCAAGGAATCTTCAAAGCACCTTCCCAAGCATATTCAAGTGAAACAATATTGCACAGCAAAACCAACCAACAAACTGGCAAGGAAAATGAGAGTGTATGGAATGAAAACTAAAATTGAATCTTTCAAGGCCAAGCACAAAACAGTGGCTGCTATTAAGGTTTGATTATTCACCTTTAACCAAGTATCCAGGTTGATTATAAAGGTGTCCTTTGCGGATAGTTTCCTATTTTTCAGTTTTAATTTCCAAAAAACAGAAACAAGAATATATGTTTGGCAGTAGTGTTTTTTTAGTATTGTTTTCTGGGCACAAAAAAACAGAATTTCTGAAATTACTAAAATAATTTATCTTTTGGATCTTGACTATTTCATTACAGAGTCCCATGATTTAAAGTACTAAACACAACCAAAGTACTAATACTGTATATCACACCAGACAATTAACCATAACAAATGCATTATATATTTCACATCATGATTGAATTGTGCGTAATCAATTGAAGAAAAAAATACCTATCCTTTAAATTTCAATAAGAAATTGTTTAATAATCCAATAAACATACAAATTTAAAAAAACAGACTATATTATACTACTATACCACTCAAATCATCTAAAATATTTTTTAAAATAAAAAATTACAAACATGAGTAAAGAATTCTATGACCTACAAATATCATATTAATAAAAAAATTGAAATACTTACTTGCAAAGAATCTGAGGCCTCCATCGAACTGCTCAAGAACCCTATTTTTTTGATCTCCAAATCGTGGCTTTATTCGGGAAGCATATAAGATTAGGCGGTAAAATTTCCCTCTAAAATTTTCATGGGTAAAAGAGGAAAATTGATCTCAAACGCTAAATTAAGGAGAAGAACGCTGGAGGGGGAGAGCTTTCTGCGTTTAGCCGCGCGGAAGAATCGGGAGGATGAGAGAGAAGAAGAACGCTGAAAAAAACAGGTCAACCAAACGCAAAAGAGTGTAAACGCAGCGTTTGGGCTTAAAAAAGCTAATACCAAACAGGCCCTAAATCGGATTGGAAAATCAAAATTTCCACCAACAATGAACAAAATCAGATCTAGAAATGAACAAAATAAAATTTGATTTATGTCAAAAACTATATAGGAATTTGATTTACTTGAGCGGAAGTGTGAAGTTGAAGGTGAATGTCGTCAGAGGGGATTTGGACTGGAGGGTGACGTCGCAGAGGAAAAAAGGAAGATGAAGATGCGAGGATGAGAAAGACGATGAAGGCTGAGGCTTTTGGGTACGGGAGTGAGGCGGTGAAGGGGAGTAGAATCGTTGACCGGTGAAGACAAAGGCTGTGTGGTGCAATTGATCGGAATAGAGAGAGAGACTATGTGGGTGAGAGGGATATGGGGTTTGGGGGGGGGGGGATTGGCCTTTTATATGGTGTACCCCTGGTGTACAAAACCGGGGTACACATGGAATTTTCCAAAGTTCATTTATCCTTATTGCATAGCCCATAAATCGACCAACCTAATTGAACAGTGCAGCCTACCCAATCAAGGAAAAAATTTACTGTTCATCTTTTTCCTTAAAATTATTAAAACAGTTTTTCCTAATGAAGTAATTTTTCAAATCGGTCTTCAACAAGTAATAATTTTTAAAATAATTCTTTGTAATTTTTTTTCTAAATTAGTCTTCAAAAAGTAATAATTACTTTTATAGTACTTCGTACTTTATACTCCGTAATAAAGATTTATTTCTAGAAAAAAATTCATTATATGCTCATAGTTGGAAGGTGTTTAGGTAATTTTTATCGTCTAATAAGTAGGGGGTCCATTTTAACAACTTAATTTAAAATTATTCTTTACTAAGGACCAATTTGAAAAAAAATACCCATTATTAGAAAAGTCTATTTTATTAAAGATTTTATGTTAGTACACACAAGTACACATGGAGTCATGATTTTGGTCATCTTTTTCTTTATTTGTTTCCCATTTTGTGTTTTTGTTTCAAAGTCAAATCTCATCACAAACTTTACTATTACCCCCTGTTAGACAAATCTTTTTGTCTTCTTGATTCTTTGTTTCTTTTCTCTCTAGTGATATGATGTACGATCCTCCGTATTTGTTTAGTTATTTCATGTTTTAAATTATTACTCCAAACAATTTTCATACTTTAATGATACCCTCTGGATTCCAATTTAAATTGCATATTTTTTGAAAAGTTTGATCGAAATTATTTCAGCTTCATTTTATTTAAAAAATAGTGCGGAATTAAGAAAAAAAAATTATATATTTAAAAATTACATCAAACACTCGGCAAAATTAGAAATGACATGATTATATTATTTTATCAAATGAGTGATGAAAATTGATAAATAAAGTGGTTAAATTTGACCGCGTGAATCATAAACAAACAACTTATATTGAGACAAAAGGAGTACATAACATGAGGTAATGAATGCGTGTTACATTTATTTTTCTCAAGCATATCTCGTGATGGATTACTCTAAAGTTCTAGCAAAGTAGTCATTCAACAATGTACTTCCTCTATTCCGAAATGTTTTTCCACTTTGTTTTTCTTTTCCTCTTCGGATTGTTCAAAAATTTCTCTCATTTCCTTTTAAGTGGTAAAGTAGGAAATAAAAAGTAGAGTGAGAGAAGAACACTATGGGACGAAGTGAGCATGTCTATGTACACTTACCCTACTTTACATATCCACTCCTCCAGCTTCCTGCCCGAAACATTAAAACAAAAAAAGTGTTTCAAACTGAGCCTTCATCAAAAGGAAAGGAAAGAGATTTCCATCAGGGAGATTTAGAGTTTTACCTGTAACCTTAAACTGCAACTCCCTAAAGATCTGCCAAACAGCTCCCTGTTCTCTTCAGCTTTCAGCCATGGGTCACTTTATCAAGAATCATTTTGGAATTTTAATGGCACGACTCGTTTCGGGACATGTATATAATTGTTATTATTGTTCCACTTTTAGGAAGGTTTATCAGAGTACAGTGTCTATGGTGATTTTGGTTCATTGAAGCTCTTCCTGGTGAGTTGCATCATATTTGGAGTCTCTTTGTCTGGGCCACTCATCTTCAGTTTCTCTGCTGCTTCTTCCTTCTCTGCTTTCTTCCTCTCAAATTCCAGCTGCTTGCAATTCTCATCATTCGATTGATTGAACATTTTTACAAAGTTGAGCAGAGTCATGATTACTACAACAAAAGTTTTCATGTGAGGCAAGAAACAATAGATCTTTTGCGGGTTGCATATGTAAGTTCGTCTCACATCGAAAGGTTATGAGAGTGACGACTTCGTAAGGATAACTAGTACAAAAACCTAATTGCTTAAACTTTAGGGTTCATATGGGCATAGTTGCACTTATAGTTCATCATCCAGCCAGCTCCCAATTCAATTGGGCCCCAAAATCACACTCAACCAGTTGTGGGACTTGTGGCCCCAACTGACTCACTTAATTCCCCTCCTATGGCGTCTCCCCTATTAACTAAACAAGGGGTAGAAATGCATTGCATGCGGCCATTGTATATATGCACTAAAATGACTAAACATATAAAACCAGAGAAGCATTTCATTAGTACAGGGAACCTTGAATCGAATGAGTACCTTGCTCGAATGTGCAACGTGCAGGATCTTCTCCAAAGTAAAGAATTAATGCATCCACATTCCTTCCCTATAACATAAGGGGTCACTAGTTATTGGCAGGCTAGTTAAATTACCGTATCAATGCCTATTGATGAAAATCTAGAGCCATACCACGCCAGAATAAAGCAATGCCAAGGACCTTACTTCACCTTCTGCATAGCAAAGGAATTCCTTTAAAGCCTGAAATGAATCGATGCTTACCCATTAGATGAACGATATAAGCATCTAACTACCAAAACGTCAGGTATGCAAAGACCAGCCCTCCAGTTTTGGAATAGTTTATATGCTTGAGAGATGACTAACTAATCCAACTCTGCTCTACTCAGCAACCAGAACCCAAGCATCATCTCACATTTTTAAAATACTACGGAGTAATATTTTTGGTAATCTCTGAAATTCTCCCTTTGAAAAATCAACGGAGTATATGATATACTCCCGTCTCAAAAAGATTTATGTTTCAAAGGCTTTTATTTCATAAAGCAGAAAAATTGTTAGTTTATTTGCCAAAAAAGTTAGAAACGAGGAAATGATACTTTAGTTAAACCAACAAACAAATTTTGAAAAATAAGTTAAAATTTAAGACTTTGAAGAGTTCTAGCTCGACCAAATAGAACACTTTATGGGAAGGAGGGGATGGATAATATGTGCCTGTGTTGGGAATAGGGGGAGAGTTTTCAATGGGTGTGGTTCCATGTGATATTTGTGTGATCATAAAAAAAACTACTTTTTTCCGGACAAAGCACGTCTCCAGCACATAGTAAACCATTTTCCCCAATCAACCAGCCTACAGGGGCATAGGTTCTCCATGTTGTTATATGTGGCTTTTATGATACGTCTGTGTTGTCAATTAATGATTACCTTACAAAAATTTTCAGAAACCTGTCCATCACTTTCTGACATGGACAGTTCTTGTATTACTTTCTCAAGTCCTTTGCTGATAGCTTGCATTTCCTCCGCTAGGAACTTTAATTGTATCTGCACAAATCATAGATTCTAAGTTTTCAACAAATATTGTTATATGTTGAAACACAACCAATTAAGTCACACATGATACCTTTGAAGCAGGTTCCAAGCTAGAAAGATCTTTCGAAAAGTCAAGAACTTCTGGCAACTTATCGGCCAACACCTAGGATTATCCCAAAATAGTGATCCATCATAAATAAATGTACTTCAAAACTACAGCAGTTTCCCTAAGAACAAATTTGAAAGGCAATGAGCCAATATGGGAACAAAGTTAAGTGCTTGAAAACAGCCAAGAAACAAGTGAAGAAAATCAACCTGATTGTACCCGGGTTCACTTCCACAAAACTAGGAGCTTTTCGATTATAAGACACATCAAGGGCATGTCCTATGTGAGAAGATGTTTTGGTAGCTGTATGGATTTGTCCTTGCGTGTGATGGATGGATGCTGGACATATAGTTTCTTTTGTCACCACTAACGAATGGTGAGTGTTTTGCACACACTCAGCCTTGCATGCCAAACACTCCGTACTAATTGCACCATCAAGGTAATAATTAACTCATGTGGTGTCTAGTGTGACCCTAAGTTTCAATCACTAGCACCTGGTGAAGAGCTAAGGCATCTAAGCACAGTCCTTATTGGTCCTCTTGTGCCTTTTGGCCAATTGGCACTAGAGGTTTAACCACCTACAGGCTATAACATACATGAGATCCATTTCTCTCATTGCTCCATCATGGGACAGGGGATGTCTAACATCCAATAACATTTTTTACAGCCGAATGCTATCATAAACACAGAGCAGCATGGTATATTAACTTTCTGTTTAGGTCACAAAACAATGTAATGTACAAAGCAACATACCTTACAAAGGTAATGCATAAGAGTCATCTTGTTGTTTCGTGCACGGGTCTCAGTAAGTTTGAGTAGGCTATCCAACCTAAATCCAACAGCAGATCCTACACCAAAATCCAACAATTAAGTGTCAATTACACAAATATTTGGTTAAAAAATGAATAGTGATTACTCTTGAGTAAGAATGTTAGAACTTAGAAGTATACAAGCATAATAGCATAAGGAAACACCAGCAGCCAAAACAATTATTTGAATCGTGAGAATTACATTATTTGAATCCTTCCCATTGCATGATAAATGGTGTTAAACGAGATTAATGTGTCTGAACTTCCATCAACCACTCAACGTCTAACACTAAACAAGTGTAATTAAGTCACTGGCTAGGCTGATGTTACTTCACATCATATATGTGATTGTGAACTTATCCCAAAAACAGATTATGCTTCAGCGGAAGCACTCATTATGGAATCTTAGGCGTCAAAGTGTGGAATATATTTCCATTTTCTGGTTTTATTGGGGAAAAAAGAAACAATTTGTTTATTATTTTCTTTTTGAAATGGGGTTAACTTGATTTTTAATTTTTTTGAAACTAAAAACTAAGTATTTGGTCAAAAAGTGCTTTTCGGTGACAGAAGACAAGAAGAACTCCGTAAGATTTAATCCTCAGCTACATTTTTGGAATTCGAAGTCAGAATGATGAATGATGAATGATGTC